ATCCTTTTTAGAATGTTTGAAATTTTGGTTAAATTTTTTTTTTTTGTGTCAACAGTGAACCAAAGATTAGTATAGGAAATTTTAGTGCCTTTTTGTGGTGAAAAACATTGATTTGGAAATTCTTTCAAAGATCAAATAATTGTTGGATTTTAATGAAATTTTCAGGACTTCACAAATGAATTAAATTATTTTAAAAATGTTTTAGAAAATCTTGATAATTTTTTTTTTCCCTGCCTGTTAAACCCTGCTACCACTTATTTAATTTTGAGAAATTAATTTTGTACAGATTAATGCTATATGTAGAATTTAAATCCTCAATTTTTTTTTCTTTTTGTAAAGCAGGACCCCCAGTTAGTGGAAATCTGCTCTGAATCAGAAAATAAAATATACAATAAAAGAAAATTAATTAAGGCTTTTAATTGCTTTTATGAATAAGATATATTATTGACATTAAAAAATTATTTTCTTTGAGGAATAATGAATTTTTACAAGAATTGTTTTCACTTTTTTTTAAAATCTTTTAAAATTCTGTATTAATTTGTCTTGGTTAGGTGATATTGTTATTAAGTAAAAACTATATTTACTAATCATAAATGGAAAAGCTTACTAGGATTCAGTGACCACCCATCCGATATTTTAAAGAATTTTGAAACTTTTTTTTTGTATGTGCTCTTTTTGTAAATATGGATGTCCGTACACAACATTATCAGAAAATAAGAGTGATAACTATAACTAAATACCTAAAATTCAATGAAACATTAGATTACTTATATTTTCTTAAATTTTTAAGATTACTAGGTAGTTAAAAATTTTATATATATATATATATATATATATAAAAAAAAAGGTGCTCAAGTCATATTCCTTTTAATATAATTTTACAGATATGTCTCTTCCCACTCCTGCTCTCTAGAAAAAAAAATTTAAATTTCCAGTTGTCAATCAAGCTGCCAACATCTTAAACACCTTTGTTAAAAAATGTATTTCTGTGATATTTTAAACTAAAAGTAATATTTGTTTCAAATCATTAATTAAATCGGCTGATATTTCTCAAATACAGCAAAGTATTTTGCTTATTGGAAATATTAAATTTAATCTATTAGCTTGAAATTAAAACTGAAGTAAAATCTTCAAGAAAGATTTATCATTTTTAAAATTTCATTTTAAACTTTGGGTATCACATTTCTTTGGAGGTATCTATGCTTAACACAAAAATTGTGAAATTCATTAAACACATATTTTTTTATGACTAACCTTTCTCTCAAAATTTCATTTGAAATCATTTCTTCAATAAGAAAAGCTTAATTTTATTTACTTCCTTCTCTTGCACACACTACTTAAAGAAAAATATTCACAAAAAAAATTTTTGAACAAATAAGCAAATAAAATGTCACAGCATCGACTTCTTAAATTGCATTTTTCTATTAAATTTTTAATTCATAATTGTTTTTTTTTTTTTTTTTTTTTTAAATTTTATCTAATTTTCAATTGTATTTCTTTGTTCATGTACAAGAAAAAAAAACACTTTTAGGAACAACTCGAGTCGTTAAAAAAAATTATCACATAACCTTCACTGGAAACCTTTTCATTTGAATATTTTTACACACATCACATGTAAAAATAATTTCATGAATGAACTTTTTTTTCCTCAAGTGAAACTTCAATTTTTTGTTGTACTTTGAAGAAATATCATTAGCCATGAGGCTAAAGAGTAATGCTTCTGTGTAACTGGGAGTGATGCTAAGGCCAGAAAGAGTTATAACTATCAGAAAAAAGTGAGTTGTTGGAAATGCGCTATAGAACACAGTGGTTGCGGTATGTCATCGTTATGGAATCAATGAATCAAATGGGCAATATATTAAGAAAAATAATAGCAGATTCATGAGGCTATTTCTTCAGCAACACCAGCAGTTGTCCCTAGCTGAAAGGGCTACTTTTTTATGGGTGAAGGGCTATAAGGAAAAGTTCTTGCATACTCTTTTAAGTAACAAAATAGTGATGAAGGAACAGGCATGAATTCTACAGATTTTCAAGCCAGCAAAGGTGGATTTGATCAGTTTAGGATACAGTTTAGACTACAAAACAGCATCCATCACCAAAGAAGCAGCACAACATTTTCCTGAAATTCTGCAGAAAATAATTGAGAAATGGGGATATTTTCTAGAACAAGTGTTTAACACTGAAGCTGTACTGTTTTGGAAGAAGAGAAAGCATCAGGCTACAAGATTGTGAAAGATAAGGTGACAGTGCTGCTGTGTGTGAATGCAGCTGGATATATAACTAAGGCAATCTTAATTTATGACACTGCTAATCCCCAAGCTTTGAGTGGGGAAAGAATAAAGCACTGTTACAAATGTATTGGATGTCCAACAAGAACGCATGGATGACTAAATTTATTTTCCTGGAGGGGTTTCATCTGTGTTTTGTGCCTGAGGACCTTCCCTTCAAAATTTTGTTGATATTAGAGTCATCCAGGAATTAGTGACTACACCACCAAAAG